GTCGAGTCTGAGCATCTCTACAACGCTACACGCGAACAAATAAGTGTTCTCCTTCAGAAAAGCTTCGAGCTACTTCCTTGCTAGATCAGGGAGTCCAACTCCAATCTTCACTCCTCAGTTCGGGTCCTTCTCGAGGGGGTGATTTCAAAGTCTCCATCGGGGATGGGACACAGAGGATCATGTTCTCTATTAGGACTTCGACCTCATCTTTGGTGAAGCAAGCGCCGAGGTCAATAGAGCCGACATTAAGTGGAACCTCCCATTCTTTAGTCTGAACGGGCTTGTCTAATGAAGAGGTTATTTTGCATGCAGATCGTGGCTTTGTGTCGACCATGTTCTGCCCCTTTAGGGTCGCATTGAAACATATTCTTGCAGCTTTGATGTCTCTAAATAATGGCGATGCAGACCCTCTTTGTGTAGAACTTCATTTTTAAATGGATCATGGAGGTTACAGCAATCAGCTCGACCAATGTTGGTCTCCCTAGGATGCAGTTGTAGAGAGGCGGACAATCGATCACCAGGAAGCAGACCTTGACTTTCCTGGAGGAATCTTATATCCCGAATGTGATAAGCAGCTCAACATAGCCCCATGGCTTAGAGGTCAAGCCATTGAATCCTTATAAATCGGATCCCACATATGGTGACAAGTGGGACCTGTCGAGCTGGAGAGTCTAGAACAGCTGGGTATACATGACGTCGACAGAGCTCCCCTCGTCGACCAGGATGTGGTGCACATTGAAGTTGGTCATTTTTGTTCTCACGAGCAAAGGGATGATGAAGTTGGGAGCTCCACCATGAAGTTCCTCGAGGTAGAATATGATGGGCTCAGACTTCCCACAAAACCTGTCCAGGGTCACGGTTTGGACTGGGGCCGCATCTATCAGCTCATTGAATTTTATTTCGTTGTACCTACAAAGAAGATGTTGAATCCTCCCCCAGTTATGACCACGACAAAGGGTAAATTTTCCCCATCTGCTGCGGGTAAATAAGGGCGTGTCGTCGTCGGTGTTATCGGGGATGTAGAAATCCTCGGGCTACGAAACACACAAAGCAACCTGGAGGGGCCCAGCCTCGTCGAAGGGTCGTGCCTCTTCCTCTACTTTTTTCACCTTGCAGTTATTACAACGAAGGATATTGTTCCTTTTATATTGCCTAAGTCGCCCTTCCTTGATGAGGGTCTCAATGGAATCCTTCAGGTGGACGCAGTGCTCAGTGACATGGCCATGACTCCGGTGGTACTAGAAGTACTTGGTCCTTCGACCCCGAGCTTAAGAGGCACGGTTTTGGGTCGGAGAACCCAATCGTCTTTAAATTCAACATTGGCACACTCCATGAGGATGCGCTCGCGGGGAGCGGTCAACGAGGTGTACTCGGTGAAGCCTCCAGCAGGACCTCTGTGCTCTCGAGAGTCACATGATCTTTCATCTTTTTTCTTATCTCTGCCCCGTCGAGATGGCTTAGTGTCCTCGTAATTCGAGGCCTTGGTCGCTAGAAGGTTTCTCGCATCGCGAGCTTTGTTGGCGGCTTTTTTCTCCTCGTAGGTTATGTATGCCCGTGCCTTGTGGAGGATATTGTCAAATGTCTTGGGAGTTTCTATCCCTACGTCATTTCTAAAGTCGGCTTAGCACAACCCCTTCTCGAGCATATATCTCTTCACGTAGTCAGTTGTGGGGACCTGGATAGCCTCGCGATTAAACCGTTTAATGTATGCTCGAAGGGACTCATCATTCCCTTGAATGATTGCCTTGAGGGTCGCTTCAGTTTTGGGGTGTCGCCGGGAGGCAATGAAGTTCCTGATGAAGTCAGTCTTCAGACCTTTCCACGAGGTGATGGACTATGGGGCAAGGCCTTTGTACCATGTCATGTCACTTTTCCTCAGAGTCGTGGAGAATAACCTGCACTTGATGGCACCCCCTATATTATGGTAGTGGATCATTGCCTCGAAGCCCTCGAGGTGATCGTTAGGGTCCGTGGATCCATTGTAGTTTGCCAGGGGTGGAGGTTTTTCCATTCCCTTGGGAATATGGACTTCCATGATTTCTCAGGAAATTTAACCACTGGGGTCGTCTTCCTCGCTCCAGTTTGGAGAGCGAGACGGGGAGAAATTGAAACGAGGACCTTTGTAGTGCGGGGAAGTTCTATTCTGATTCCTCATCTTCTCCAACTGATCTTTGCCCTTGTTCCTCTTAGGGGCAGGTGATTGACGCTCCTTGCACGAAGGTTTGCTGTCGCACTTCTTAATAGGTTCAAGTTGGGTTCTCTCCAGTCAAGGACCGCACCCATTAGGACGAGGAGAGAAGCTTCACGATTCTTCCCGTTGGTGCCTCCGCATAGGAGATTGTGAACATGCCTCTCGTTGTCGCGGGGACGGGCTCTGAGAGTCATGTCTTATGTGTCTTATAGGGTAACATGATCGACGACCCTTCTCGAGCATTCCAATCCATTCCTTTTGATGGAAAATCATGAGTTTTGTGTGGTTGAAGGCTGCGAAGAGGGCCACAATGACGGAATCAACGTTGGGAGGTACTAGAATCTCCTTATATTCTCTGGGCTGGTCGACATGCTGATACGCATTGAGGGGATGTTCCATGGACAAGGAAGAAGTAGTTCGCCCGTCACGGGGGTCACACTGGTCATGACATGCAACTCCATTGTTGTTGTGGATTCCTCCATCAGCGAAGGCGGTTTCGTTGAGGTTACCGTCGTTGTTGTGCTGACTGGTCATGATGATGAAAAATTTGAAATATTTTCTTTGGTATTAACGTTAGAGAAAGACGAGGAAGCAAGGGTTCCCACAAACAGCGCTACTGGTCGTACCTGACCATAATGGTCTTCAGTGGCCCACAACAATGGACTTGTACGGTTGTTGAAGTTGATGGGGGTACGTGCAAGACACTCCAATGCCAAAGAAAGGTTCATAGCCAAGTGAAAGTAGAGAGTGAGATAATGAATGAAGGAATGAATACATGACTCTCTAGTGTAAGAGAGTATTTATAGCCCCAGCGCTAGGTCAAGGTCCACATGTTTGGCCGACTGGGCAGACCCAAAATGGAGACTGCCAGGACCTACGAGTGTAGTGGTCTCCATCTTGGGTGAACTGCCCTAGAATACCAGGGAGGTGTATACACGGTCTTTTCGAGATCAAGAGGATTCCAGAGTATTCAGAGGGACGTTGGTCGTGTGCCCTACGAGGAGGATGCGTCTCGGCGGGCACTAGGGGCAAGCGTCCTCGACATGGCAGGCACGTCCTCGGTGTGAGCGCCGAGGTGATGCACGTCCCACGACCATGGTCGCGGAGGGCACGTAGTGGGCCTTCCCTGTTGCCGGTCAGATAAGGATCCCGTCCGACGGAGGGTCAAGGGAAGATCCATCATAGCTGGATTGACCTTCCATGACGTTTGGGTCAAACGCGGGTCTGGTTCAGAACACCATATATGCAGAAATTAATGTTTTTTCACAAAATTTAAAGGAAATAACTAACTAAACTAACATAATCATTTTTAAGGAACTAATATGTAATCTTTATTAGATAAGAAACTAAAATTAAATTTGAAATTAAATTAAATAATTTTATCTCTAACTAAAATTAAATTTGAAATTAAATTAAATAATTTTATCTCTAATTAAATCAAAAATATTCTAAATGTTAATTATGACAGAGGTGGTCACAATGCAAAATTTGAATTGTTATTTGTTCTCTAGTAATAAAAAAAACTTATTTTACAAAAACCGAGAGTTAGGTACACAAACCCTATCATCAAGGCTATTTCCGTTCTCAAAGTTTTTAAGTAATAATCATTGTATAGCAGCAACTATGACAATCTTCATAGTGGTTTTACTATTCCTTTTTGAAATAGGAAGAGTAAGGTTATTTCAAGCAAGATTGAGTGTAAAATGAAACAATGCTTGAAAGTTTGGATTTGGAGAGTTAGAAAACGTGGACAACTCAAAAGAGGGAAAAAAAAAAAGAAAGACTTCTTTGGTTAAAGAGAAACTTCAGATTCTAAAATTTGAAAACCTAATAAAACTCAACAAATTCTAAAATTCAGATGATATTTTTGCCCTAGATCAAGAGTTAGGAAAAAAATTAAACATAAAATTAAGGATTAATAAATTTATTGGTCTCTCTAAATATCTCAAACTTTATTTTTAATCTCTCTAAAATTTTCCTTCAAAAAATGATCATCTTAAAAATTTAAAATTTAACTTGTAGTCACTCTTACAATTTAGAGACAGTTTTTACAATTTAACTATGAATCTAATAACGATTTTTAGCGACAATTTTTAATTTAATGACGAATTAGATACCGTTTTAACTACGATTTTGTTATGAAAAATTAAAAGTTAAATTTTAAATTTTAAGGAGGACCATTTTTTAAAGAATTTTTTTATAGAAACTAAAAACAAATTTTGAAATATTTAGAAGGAAAAAAAAATTTATTAACCCTAAAATTAAACATGTACTTAATAGTTATATATGCACTTAGTAAACATTAGGTGTAAATAGCTCTCAAAGTAACTCATGAAGTGTCGATAAAAGCCCAAGCCCAAATGAAAAGCTACAAAATTCTCACACCAGTACAAGCGGCAACTTATCCCGCCCAGAAGCGCGTTCCCGCCATTACCACCCTTTTTTCAACCACTTCCGACTCTCTTATATAACAAATGCAGTCCTTTCTTTATTTCTACCACATCCGAATTTTGAAGAAGCTTGGTGATGATTTTGACCGAGTTGCTTCCCCTGAGAAGAAACGTGCTACTGAGGTGGTTGTTGCTGATTTGGTGGATGATCCGGTGAAGACTAGGGGAGGCAGATTGGTTAAGATTGGAGATGCTGTGAAGAAGGTTGTTGAAGGGAAAGAGAAATTGAAAAAGAAGGTCTCTGAAGAGAAAGAGAAAAGCTCTATTTCTGAATGTTTGTGTTGAGCAAGTGAGAGCTGGATATAGGCCACACGCTCACTTTAATAAAGTTGGATGGGGAAATGTGATAAAAAAATTTAATGATTAAACCAAATCATCTTACAAATATAAGCAAAAGAATAAATGAGATATTTTTAGAAAGGAATGATAGGTGTGAGAAAAACTCAAGGGAAATGAGATTGAAGTTGGATGGGATTATTGGTCACAAACTGTTACAACAAATGAAGGGTGGTGGGAAGCTAAAATTAAGGTGATTTTATCTTTAAGTTTTAGTTATATTTTTCATTTATTTCTAAGTTTGGTTTATGTGTATGTGTGTTAGTGTTATATCGCCGGTGACATCTTCGACATCACTTTCCGTTTCATTTCCGGTTCATCAACCACTGTATGATGCGCCGATTTTGCCAATAGAAGAGGAGGAAGAGAGCCATTTTGATGGCCACAGCAGAAACCCTAGAAATGTCAGAGTGGAAGAAAGGACATTCGAAAATGTTGTGATACAGGGTTTATCTCTGAGATTGAATGCTTCTTCGCCATCGCCATCTCATACTTGTTCATCATCTGCTTCACTCACTGATAGCTCTTTTTCGTTACACTTGAATTTGAATTCGAACTCTTCTATGTCAGTGCGTTTACTTCATGAGAAACACCTTGGTTTATGGGACATGCTTTGACTATAGGAATTAGAACCGTTTATGGTATCCGCCTCCTGAAGGTTTAACACCTTGGTATTGTCAACCTGTTGTCCGTAAGGGAATATGGAGTGTTGGCTCTGTCTTGATTCATTTGTTAAATGATACATCTGGGCTTGATAAGACAGCGAGTTGTATAGTCATTTAGAAGCACTGGCCGAAGTGCTACTTGAGGCATATTCTGGTGCTGTTACTACTAAAATTGAGCGTGAAGAAGAACATAGGTAATTGTACGGGTTCTGGTGTGAACGGTGGAATTGATATCAGTTTGATTTTGAAATTGAAATAAAATAGAAAATATTTAAATTTAATTGTAAGAAAAAGGAAAAATAAAAAAAGTTGTCAATGATAAATATATAAGTTAATTAAATGACAAAATATTCATTTTGACCCCTTAACTATAGGTCATGGTTCAATTTGGTCTCTTATTTTTTTTTTCTCGTTAAAATGGTCCCTTAATTTTTAAAATGCAGCAACGTTAGTCCTTCTGTTAGTTGGCTCAAACGTCTGTTAACTTGTCCTACGTGGTAGGTACACTGGCATGTCAATAGCTTCATCTTCTTTATATGTTACAGGATACATTTTCATCTTCTCCATCTTCTTTATATGCACCATCTTCTCCATCTGTTACATGATACGTTTTCATCTCCCTCCCCATACTGTTCAAGTCGTTTCGTCAATTACCCATGAATACGAAGCATTCTTCTTCGCAAGCGAACATGAAGAAATCTGAAAGTATTGATTCATGTGTTTACAGTAGCTCACGAATTGCACCATTATATATTTGTGGAGATAAAGCTGTAACCACTGAAAAGGTTTTGGAAAGAAATTTTGGGTTGTCACAATTACAAGGTAAGCAAGATTGATCCAATTTTGAAATTTGCAGGGGTCCTTGCAAAGAGGATGTGGTTTCTTCGATTGGTTTTATGAGGAATCAGTACGAAAAATTGAGGGCTAGAAATGAAGAATTAGGGGATGATGTGTCAGAACTTCAAATTCAACTGAACTATATATTGAAGTGGAAAAAATCATTGAAGATTATGTGTTTTGTAATGTTATGTGTATGTTTGATTAAGTTGTTTTAGGAGTATGTATTATGTGTAATGGGCAACCTTATGACTTCTTTTGGATTATGACTTTTTTAGGAGTATGTATCATTTTGTAAGACATTTTATCAGTTTAATATGACTTTTTTTTTGTTTGGAATATCATTGTTTATAACAACATAATTTTGGTCATTATCAGAAAATGAGCATTTCAGATTAATATGAACTGATAATATGAACTCAAACATATAAGATTAAATGAACATTATTCCAAAATGACATTACATAGATATGTTCCAAAATGCATAGACATGTTACATAGACATGTTCCAAAATACCATAAACATGTTACATAAAATTGACAGAATGACATGTTACATAGACATGTTCAAAAACACCATAAACATGTTCAAAAAAGCTGACATAAAGATATGTTCCAAAATACCATAAACTACATAAAGCCTAAAATTATAACTAGATGATCCTCTTTGATGTGCTTCTCTTGGTTGGAGTAGATCGCCTTGTGGTAAGACCAGTTGCATTCTTGGTTACTGAGAGTCTTGTTGTTGGTCCTGGGGGTACAAATGGCCTTCTCATACCTAGTTTTTGTAGCTTTCCAGTTCCTCTAGCTTTCTCATTTGCGCCTTGCCCTGATATTGCATTTCCTTGTGAAGAATGAGTTGCATTCATATATCCTTGTGTAATTGATGCTTGTGTTGCTGCAACCTGACTTGTAGTGGTTTGAGATGCATAAACTTGTCTTGTCCCAATCTGATTTGCATTGGTCCCAACCTGACTTGCACTGGTCCCAACCTGACTTGCATTGCCTTGTGTTACATTGCCTTGTGTTGCATTGCATTGAGTTGCATTGTCTTGCCTTGCATTGACTTGATTTGCATTGCCTTGAGTTGCATTTCCTTGAGTTGCAATCCCTTGAGTTGCAGTGGTTTGAGATGCAGTGTCCTGTGTTGCAGTGACCTTGCAGGTTTTCTTGTTATGTCCAGTTTTCTTGCACCTAGAGCACTTTACAAAAAACCAGTTCTTCTCAATTTTATGTCAGTTCCATCAATCTCCCATTGCCTAAGGTTTCTCCTTTTCTTTGGTCCATCAGACATCTTTCTAAACTTAGGTGGCTACACATTTGGATATGGAGTTTTGGTCCACAAATTGGATCCATTCACAGGATAAAGCACATACCTATATATTGTCTTGATCCCTATAATAATCTGGAATGTAATCATCAACTTTAAAATTCCAACTCTTCATGGATGACATGGCATGGACACATAGAAGTCCTGTGAGTTCCCACCTTCTGCAGGAGCATAAGTAATCCTTCAAGTTCATAGTGATTGTTTCAGCTTGTTTTCCACATGCCTTACTTCAAACATATGCTCATCTGACATTCTACAATTACCATTAACAATAACAATTAACATTATACATTTAACATCAACAATAAGAATTAACATTCTGCAATTAACATTAACAATAACAGACCATACCTGACAAGCCATAAGTTTGTGAAGGCACTTGTTATGTCCATCTTCTTTCTAATGTTGGACAAAATATCATTACCCGATATTTCTTGAAACCTCATTCTGTTTTTGTCCATCTCTCCATCATGTAAGTTCTGATCTCCTCAAGCATTGTTACTAGTGGTTTAGCCCTAGCTTCAACAATAACACTATTAAAGGTCTCTGACATATTATTGAGCACATCATCACACTTGTTGGTTGTCCTAAAATATGATCTAGACCAATATCTTGGTGGAGTCTTCATCATATGGAGATATGCCTCTCCATTGATCATTCTCATTGCCCTCATCTATATTTCCCAAGCTTGTGAGTATGTAGATTTAGCAGCCTTCCAGATAAGATCCTTGAATGTTTTTCCAGGATACCTCTTCCTGAAATTGTTATACAGATGCCTAACACAAAATCGATGTTCAACATTGGGCAACAACTCTTCCATTGCAGGTAAAAGTCCCTGTAAAATACATTTATAACTAATAGTAAATTATCAAGAAAACAATCAGATAAATGTAAAGATTCAATGATGTATTTGGTGTATCTTCTGTTGGTCTGAAATGAAAGTGTATGAGCGACATTCATGCCCACCTCCCAGATCATCAATCAATAACTTCAAAAACCATGTCCAACTATCTCTATTTTCACCTTCAACAACTGCAAATGCTATAAGAAGCATCTGATCATTAGGATCCCTTCCTATAGCTGCCAGAATTTCACCTCCACAAAGCCCCTTCAAAAAGCAACCGTTCAATCCTATCACATGTCTACATGATTTGAAACTTTCCTTGCACCCTTCGTAGCATATGTAAAGCCTTTTAAAAAATGGCCTCTGATCATCAACATCTCCTGGAACAGGTTCAACATTCATCTTAACTGTTGACCCTGGATTGGGTCTTAGCAATTCATGACAATAGTCATATATCCTAGTGTAACCACCCAAAAAGGAACCATCAACCCTATTCCTTGCAGCCACTATTTCTCTTATTGCTTTAGTCTTGTTTACCCCTACATTCCACTTCCTCAATGCCTTTTCTTTAATGTCCTGGACCTTCAACCTAAGGTTGTTTTTCAATATATTCTGAATCCTCTTGCTCAACCACTTTGTGCTTAACATCCTCACATTATACTCCCTACTGCAGTTATGATTGTCAATTACTTTCCTTATTTTCCAGGTTTCCTCATTTAATAACTTAGAAAAATAAACCTCCCACTCACAACCTTCCTTACATCTCACCCTCACCCTTTTCTTATCATTTTTATGATCTTGAGGGCTCTTCCATTTTGAACAACATATGAGGCAATTGCTTCCTTAATGTCATCCTTTGAAGTAAAATACATTCCTAATTCTCATTTGTAATTGTACATATCTTTTATCTATTTGAAAATTGGGTATTTCTTCCTTTTAACCCCACTATTGTCATCACTGTCACAACCACTTTGAAGATCATCATAGTCATTGTCACTCCCCTTATATTCCTCTGTATCTTTGTTGCACTTTCCTTTTTCTTTTCCTTTTCTTTTTGACATTTCATTACTGTCATACACAGTCAGGTCTGCAATTTCATTTTCATCAATGTCCTCATAACCATCTGTTGGCTCCCAAATTCGACACCTATTGTATGTGGTCTTTTGGACCAAACAACTGGAATGAACTAAACCAGGAGGTATGATTCGACACACGAGATAACTTAGGAAAAAGGATCTAAGTTATGATAAGAGTCTTCGACCAAGGGTTCATTCGACTGAAGCAGATTTAGGTTGTTCGACTGAAGGAAAGTGTTCGCGCCCTGGCACATGGGACGAAGACCATTTGAAATTTGAATTATTGGAGGGAAAGGTGGTTTTCATCAGCGTCTAAGGGAAGGCAACGTGGCAAAAAGCTGTGGGTCGAGAGGCATGCAGAAGACACTTGTCTTCATCCTAGCGCAGAATGTCCCCTCGACGGTTACCTACTTTTAGTATAAATTAAGAAGCTTGTGTAATTTTTAAGTGTGTTCAACTTATGGTACTAAATCTCTCAAATATTATCCAAGTAACTACTGCGTGAGAAAGGATAAAAGCGGAGCAATGTACGTTAGAAACACCTTTTTTACTTAATAAAAGTTTTTTTACATTACTTTACCATTATCCTACAAAGTCATCTTTTTACTTCTTTTACTTGCATTTTTATGCTTTTGCTTACTGCTCAACAATCTTAAACATCCTTCCCCTGGGTTGAACGTGCGTTCTTCCTTCTTACTCATTTTACATAAAGATTAGTATATGTTCTGGGATTAGTTTGGTCGATCCCGTAAGTAAACCAAAAACCTTACCTTTTTTGGAGATCAGCAGTTGTTTACCAAAAACAACGGTAAACAAATTGGCACACCTGGTGGGACGTTGCTAATTTTCTATGTTATTGTGTTTT